TTTTGTTTCTTTACTTGCATTCCGACTTTTTTTGTTTCTTTACTTGCATTCCGACTTTAGACTCTGCATCTTGATGTTCAAGCATAGAAGTTTTGTCTGCTTCTTCATCCTGAGCTACACAAACAGAGAATGACCTCGGTCATGAAATAGTCTTATGACAAAGTTCTAGCTAAAACATTTGACTTCTGATTTTGTCTTTGGTTACTTAAGAGTATTCACACTTTAGGGCTAAAGTCTAAATTTTGTAAATTATATGCATTATGAACCAAAGAAAAGAGAACCACTTAAAAAATTTAAAGTTATCTTGTAATTATTGTACTTACTACTGTGTCTTTTTTCTTTGGATGTTTTTTGTTTCTTTACTTGCATTCCAAGTTTTGACTCTGCATCTTGATGTTCACGCTTAGGCGTTTTGTCTGCTCCTTCATCCTGAACTACATAAACAGAGAATGACCTTGGTTGTGAAATAGTCTTATGACAAAATTCTAACCAAAACATTTGACTTCTGATTTTGTCTTAGTTACTTAAGGGTATTCACACTTTAAGGTCAAACTCTAAATTTCTATAAATTATTGTAGGGGATGGAGACTCTTAACATATCATTTTAAGACAGAATAGTTTTATGCTTAGTACAAGCCTCAAAATGTGTCTTGAGAAACATCCCGGAGGGGTTGTAAAAAGTTAACTTTGCAGTCCTGACTTAGCCCTGGAATGCTTCTCCAAAGACAAAGAACATCTGGGCCCAGATAATCACCTATGACCCTGCCTGGGTTGTTTCATCTCTTCCCTGGCCCTAGATAAATATTGTTACCATAAAGGAAATGTATGGTTATCTTAAGGGGGACATAAAGAACAGAGTACAGAAAGTATATATTATTGTGGTCTGGCTCATGACTGTAGCCTGACCTGGTCACATGGCATAAGGAAAACAATGTGTGGCCAGAGCTACAATATTCCAATCTGTTACTATGGAAACAAAAGGTATATTTAAGGTGGGAACAAAGAAGGCCAGCTGCCCACTTTCCTGACCTGCAAATCAGGGATGAAGGGTGGCTAGCCTCAAATTAATAAAGCTCGATTGTTCTAAATACAGTCCTTCGGTTTCTTGTGGAACACAACCCGATTTTTGCCATTACATTATATGCATTATGAACCAAAGGAAAAAGAACTATTTAAAAAATTTAAAGTTATTTTATAATTATTATACTTACTACTATATCTTTTTTCTTTGGAAGCTCTTTGTTTCCTTACTTGCATTCCGAGTTTTGAAGCTGCATCTTGATGTTCAAGCATAGAAGTTTTGTCTGGTTCTTCATCCTGAACTACATAAACAGAGAATTACCTTGGTCTTGAAGTAGTCTTTTTTAAAGAAAATGATTTCCATTTATTTTGTGAATAAATTTATATCCTTACATGTAGATTACAATAAGAAAATTATATATTATGTGAAAGGTACATTTTTTGAGTAAATTCAATACATGCATAGATAATATATGAAGGCTAGCTAAGTATTAATTGCTCAGGCTTCTCTGTTTTTTCTTTAATTTATTTTTCGGTACCAGGAATTGAACTCAGAATTTTGCACTTGGTAAGCAGGCGCTTGTGCTGCTGAGTTATATCTCTGGCCCCAGGCTTCTTTATTGACAATGCTAAAGTAATCTGAAAAGCTCCTCCAGAACTGATTGTTTCCAGTGTCAGTTTGTATTATCCTGACTCTATATATCTAACATTCTAAGTCATTTTCCAGACTTGGAGCAATGAAACTAGATTTTATAGAGAATATCCTAAGGTGGCCTTAGGTTATAAAAAGATTTTTTAAAAATGAAACTAACTCCTAAACCTGATCTTACAAAATAACTACTGATGTTGATGAAATGATATCCCATCATTAAAAAGTCTGGGCCAGGCCTGGCATGGTGGCTGTAATTCCATCACTGGGAAGGCTGAGGAAGGAGGACTGCAGCAAGTTTGAGGCTATATAGTCAATTTAAGGCCACCCTGGACTACAGAGTGAGACCATGTCTCAAAAAAAAAAAAAAAGAGAAAAAGTCTAGGCAAACTCCTAAGGACTGGGCCATAAGAACAAGAACGTATCTATAAAAAGCTACAGTATAACATACTTGATACCAAAGTTTCCACTTCTCTAACCACTTCAGTGTGTCGTGAAATAGTCTTATGACAAAATTCTAACCAAAACATATGACTACTTTTGATTTTGTTTTCAGTTACTTAAAGGTATTCAAACTTTAAGGTAAAACTCTAAATTTCTATAAATTATTGCATTATGAACCAAAGAAAAATGAACTAATTTTAAAAACATTTAAAGTTATTTTACAAATATTATACTTACTACTCTGTCTTTCTCCTTTGGAAGTTTTATGTTTCCTTACTTGCATTCTGAGTTCTGGTGCTGCATCCTGATGTTCACGAATAGGAGTTTTGTCTGGTTCTTCATCCTGAGCTACATAAAGAGATACATTTAACCTTTTGTTAGAAAAGCGGTTGTCTGTGAAATCTGTCAAGTTGAAATTTACAATACTTACAGAATTTTCTTTCATTTTGACTATTATAAGTCAATTACTACAATGAAAGTTATAGTATGAAAATTGTGAGAATATTTATGATGGGTGTGTTGAAGCATATTATTTCATTACATTTCTGGGTATCTGGTATACATGTCTCTAGTTTTCATGGGTAACATATTTTATAGTAATACATATTCATAGAGTTAAAATTAAAATACATATATAATGTTACTTACTATAGCATAGTTGTAACTATGAACTATTCAAGACTAAATTTTAAAGTACAAGAGATTAGTCAAATAAACCAAAGTGTATTATACACTATGGTATTGCACAAATTATGACAAATAATGTGTTACAAACAGCTATAAATAGAACTATAAAGTGAATGAAAAAATAGATACTTAGAGGGGTCTCAAGAAATCATGTTTGAAGAAACCTAAAAAGGGAGGAACTTACATGATATCACTTGGTGAGGAAGATGAAAAAAATAAGTAAAAAGAGAAAGAAAGAGCTAGTTATCTACTACTGAATGATCTAGTTAAGGGTTTTCTCTAAGAAATTTCTGGCTCTAGTTACTCAATGATGGCATCTGATAAACAGCACTGATAAATACTCCACCCACTATCCTCTGGCTAGGCAGTGGACCACATCCAACATAACTCCAAACTATGAGGACTTCTATAACTAATAAAATTCCCATCATTCTGTACCTCCCAATCATTGGAAATGAATTGGAGAACCAATACAACTTTTGTCTAGACCCCTCAGCTTTCAAGACCATGTCCTTGTATCACTGGAGGCAATCTGCAGTTTGATGCCAAAGTTAGAATCAAAAGGAGAGGTGAGGGAATTGTATTTCTAGGGAGCTACTGGTACACAGGTGTTAGGGATCACTATAACCTCTGACATTAGGAACTAGAGTGTTGCTTCTGAGGCCGCTACCAAGAGCACCATTTGCCAAACTCTACTATGAGTGCATCCTTTTGGCCACTACAAACTTTCATTTTATAGGTCTGTCTGTTGAATGTATTGTTGGTGTGTATACAGTTGCTCTGTGAACCCTGCTACCATTCACCCACTAAGCCTTTGGCTTCATTTAATAAGGCCTAGAAAACTGAATCTCTAGACCACAGCACCTCTGTAACTCAACATCAATTCCTGGAATGAAAAAGACACAGCTGTTCTCATTACTAAGCTTAATGGAGCAAATGAGATTATATTCAGTAATAAGTGGGTCTTTGCACACAAAGACCTTGGTGGCCACAACTTGATTTTGGTGGCTCAGCATTATAGCACAACCCTGCACACCTATGGTATGTTACACTGTGACTGTCATATAGAAAATTGAGGGAAACTGATGTACAAAATCCGACAACTCAAATACACTTTCCTTATACTTTTGCAAGCATGTTCAAGGTCAGTTTAACCTTGCATGGAGTAAACTGCAGTGCACTGCTAATATCTTCCCACAAAGCTACCAAATACCTGTCCAATACCTGTCATCAGTGTATAGATCAAGACCTTTATATGACCTACTTCTCAGACGTAGGGTCAGCCTTCCAAGTGATATTACTATCACTTAAGTGGGTGGGTACAGAGAAGGAATTCACCCAAAAAAACCCACTCAATGCTCTCTTGACCCAACAGTATCACTTAGCTGTCCCATTACTACAGACAGGGTACAGCTACTAGTTTTTCTAATAAAGTTCCCATCACTAATCTTTAAGGGACATATTTCATTCCCAATGAGACTGCCAAGCTTTAACTCTCTCTGGTGCAGAAAATAAAAAGAGCAATAATTCAGATACTTAAGACTGATTTTCCCCATATGGAATCAGGTTTCCTCAGTGATACCCATCTATGGAGTTAACAGAAAGTGTTTCATCTCAGTAGGTCCAGGATCAAGAGGATGCCCTAGAGGCCCACAAACCAGCTTCACAGGCTACCTTCTCCTAGGCTATTTTGACCCTCATTTGATGTCTGACATATAGAACTCTCTGTTTGCCAACTGGGGTCTATGAGAGAAGGCCACTGTCACAAGTCAGAGATGTACATTAGGTTTTCAGACCCAAATTTCAGACCCTGGAGTCCTCTGTAAAGTACATTAGTTTGGGAAGAGTTCTTAATCTGTTTTGAGGAGATTCTATATGTCCTGTGGAATGAAATAATCTTAGGGCTGAAAGCTCAACCAGAGGATATCGATATTTTTGCTTTTTTTTTTAGTAATGAGAGAGACTCCACACTTCAAAGTGTGCAATATCTCTAAAGTATATGTTTATATAGATTCTTATGAACAAAAGTAAACAAATCTGAAGAGTCAAGTTTAAAATAATTCAAAATTACCTATGATTTTTGTACTTACAAGTGTGTCTTTCCTTTTTGGGAGTTTTCTGTTTCTCAGTAGCTTGTATTTCTGATTTTAATGTCGATTCTTGATGTTCAAGGACAACAATTTCACCTGATTCCTCATCAGAAGCTATATAAACAGATGCATGTAGTCCAATAAATACAAGAGATCTATTTGCAATCCTTAAGTTTTAAACTTATAACAAGTATGCTGCAGTATTTTCTCTTTCATAGTTTTCATAAAGAGTGCAAATCTCTTGAGTTCACTTCATCAGTGATGTGGGGAAACTACAGAAACTTGAGTAGTTGCTTGGAAGTGATATTATTCATTTAGTGTGTGACAGTGGTTGCTTCTGGTAGCCTTCCGCTGTACTTAGGGGTACTATGATACCCTGCAGGCATTACCCAACAAGGACCAGATGCGCTGTTGATTCATGTGCAACAATGTGAACAGTGATGCAGACAAGGCACAAATACAAACTCAACACTCCAAATTAAGGAAGGAAAGATTTACTTAGCTCACAGTTTGTGGACGTTTTAGTCTATAATGAGCTGACTCCTTGGCAGGGTGGCATGGCAAAGGGGCAACAGTTTAAGGCTGCAGAAGACAGCAAAAGCAGCAAGAGCAAAAAGGGGGGGAAAGCCAGCCTCCTTTTCTCCTTTATATTGTAAGCAGGCTTCCACTCCCTGTGGTGGGTGTATGTAGTGCTCACACCATCTCCATGCCTTCCTCTTCCATAGGATGAGGATGTTTACAAAGTAAACATCCCTGGTTCCCTGCTGAGTCACTTAGTTAAACTTTTAAACTTTTCAAGTTCACACCATTACAACCCTCACACCTACATTTAAGTTATAGGCCTCAGCAACATTTATGTTCACCAACTGAGGCCTAAGGAAGAAGTCCATGGCACAGGTAAGTAGATTCAATCAGGTTTTTAGACCTGTAGCTCCTGGAAGTTGGCTGAAGTATGCACACCTTTGCTAAATACTGACCACACAATCATAGCTGTGAAACAGTCCTGCAACCAGAAATACTAAATAAAAGTAATGAATATTTAGGTTTTTGCTATAGTAAGCAAACAGCATTCACTCTATGTCAAAGGTGAATTTTCTATAAAATAGTAAAATACAGATTCATAAAACAGAAAAGCTCTTTAGATGTGATTAAAATAATTGAAAGTCATCTACAACTTTTTATACTTACAAGTGAGTGTTTCCTCTCTAGAAGTATCTTGTTTACTTTCTAGCACTTTTGTTTTTGATATTGATTCCTGAAGTTCAGGTACAAGATTTTCATCTGATAATTTATCAGGAACTACATAAAAAGATACATTTAGTTAATTAAACAGGAAAAAAATGGAACTACTAAAATGTATATTTTAAAATTAGAACAAGTTTACAGCAATATTTCTGTCTTTTTATGAAGTTATAACTAAGTTACCATAATTCTGGATCTGACTAGAAAATGGTGAAAGTTTTAATGAATTTATTGAAATCTTCTCATTTCACAAACATTTTAGGCATCATATAGTATAGTATTAGTATCTATTTTTGTTATTTATCCATTATAGACCAGATAGATTTCATAGGCTAA